TGTTCCTGATCATAAGAGAGCCCAGCAGGATCATCCAGCAATACACACATGAATCCCCACCCTTTTTTTTTTTTTTCAGTTCTACCACTTTATTGCTACCAACCCATCTCCCTCCACCCTCGTGCACACATGCTCAGTCATGTAACCCCATGGACTGCAGCCCGCCAGGCTCCTCTGTCCATGGACTTTTCCAGGCAAGAATACTGGAGTGGGTTGCCATTTCCTTCTCCAGAATCCCCACCCTTTACACAAACACCTGCGTAGTGACAGCGCACTATTGCAAACATGATGTCACCGGATTTTCACGATAACCCTGGGCTCAGATCACATTATTCCCAATGGACAGATGATAAAACAGGTTCTGCGAGATGAATCCATTCGCCTGAGGTCACAGAGTGAGTAAGAGGGAGAGATGGGGACTTGAATCCAGGTATGAGAGATTAACTTGTCAGCCACCTGGATCTCTCTCAGTTTAAAATACTGGCTCTTGGCAAATTGTATAGCCTCTCTGGCTCTAGTTTCTTCATCATATAAGGGGATAATAAATAGAATTGAGGTCACGGGATTTTTATGAGAATTCAATGAATTAACCCATATGAGGTGTTTAGAATGGTGACTGGCAGGTTTTTTGTTGGTTGCAGTTTCCCACCTGGGCACTGAACCTGGGCGCTCAGAGAGTAGGGTCCTAACCACTGGACCACCAGGGTATTCCCAGAGAGTTGTAATGCTGAATAAGTTATCTCTCACTATTCTTACTGTACCATGTCAGGGAACGATGAGATATTTAAACACCTAAGGTCATTCAGTAAATCTTGTGGGTTTGTGTATTATTGCTGGTAGGAGAGTTCTCAGCTTCTAATTCTCAAAATGGTCTATGAACCAAAACGTTTTCAGAACCACTGGGTAAGACAGACAATAATATATTTAGCCCAATTCTGTAAGCCTCGCACCCAGCATCCCTCCCCAAACACCCAAACATTCAGAAGGGAGGAACATGGCCAAAATTGAGAAAGCCAGGACTTCTTTGGTAGTCCAGTGGTTCAGAATCCATGTTGCCAATAGGGGGCTTGGGGTGGGGCGGGGGGCGGTGGGCACAGGAGGGAAGAGGGGCCCAGGATCACTCCCTGGACAAGGAACAAAGGTCCCAACATGTCATGTGGTGTGACAAAAAATTTTAAATGACTTAAAAAAAAAAAAAAAACAGAGACTTTCCAGGTGGTCCAGTGGTTAAGACTCCGTGCTCCCAATGAAAGGGGCCCCAGGATCGAATCCCTGGCTAGAGAACTAGGTCTCACCTGACATAATTTAAGACCCAACACAGCCAAATATAAATAAATATAAAAAGGAAAGAAAGTCAACATATGAAGACAACGAAACAAGAAAAAGGTGGCTAGAGCACCCACACTGGGTTCAGGTTTTAGCACCACCACATGTGAGGGCCGAAAACAGCTCCAACATCATCCGACTCCCTGGAGAGCCAGATCATGCAGGGGAACACCCAGGCAGCACCTGGGAACACATTAGCTCACTTCTCCCACAGGTTTCTTATGCCTGATGGGAACAGCCTGTTGGGAATTCTGTCACCATCCTGGGTCAAACTCTCCTTTTCCCTTGGCTCCCTCCAACCTCACCAAGCATGCACCAAAGCACTGAGATATCCACAATGGTCACTAAGACTGACCACTGCACTTTGGACCTTCCCAGGCCTCAGTTTCCCCATCTTTAAAATGAGCTTGATTGGCTTAGATGATATGAGACGCCTTCCAGTCCTAAGCCTTCAGACTTCAGAAAGCAGGATGCGTGCCAATGATTTACTCTGTTCCAACTGAGGATACTAAGGCCCTGAAACAAGCAGCAACCTACACAGGCCACACACCAATGCATCCTTGGCCTAGCCTTGCATCACCTTTCTTCTCTGCCAAGGGCACAGGGACCACACTGCTCACTGAGTATGCTGAGGCCCAAAGGGAAAACTGCCTCCGCTCACTTCCAGTTAACTCCAGAGCAGAGTCTGGACCCTGGACCTTCAGACTTCTATTAAGGAATGGGGGCAGGGAGACTGCTCTGGGCAGGTCCGTGATTAAGACTCGGAGCTTCCACTGCTTGGGGTACAGCTGCCGTACCTGGTCAGAGAACTAACACCCTGCATGCCACATGGCAGAGAGGCCAAAAAAAAAAAAAAAAAAAAAGATGGGGTGGTGGTGCGCAGAATCACCAAGGGCACCATAGAGATGGTCTTCTCGCCTGCCCTGGCTGCCCGCCATTTACAGTAAGTGTCTGCCTTCAGGTTTTCTACACAGTAGGTCTGGAGAAAAGAGTGGGAAAGGAAATGTTAGGGTTCAGAGATGAGAGCTAGGTCCCCAGCTCTCAGATTAATCTGAGAGTGCTCTCAGGCCCTCTGATATTCCCTAGGTTTAAGTTGCCCTATTAATCCCCACACACTCCAGGGTTAGAGGAAGAATGGATACTTGTATGTGTATACAATAGCTAGGTTCCTTCGTTACTCATCAGAAACTATCACAGCATTGTTAATTGGCTGTACCCGAATACAAAATGTTTTTAGTGTTAAAATAATATTTGGAGAAAGAAATGGCAACCCATTCTAGTATTCTTGCTTGGAAAATCCCATGAATGGAGGAGCCTGGTGGGCCCCAATCCATGGGGTCACAGAGAGTTGGACATGACTGAGTGACTAACATGCACCTCACCCTCACCATTATTATTGTACTTTTGAAAAGCGTAAAGGGGATGCATAAAAAGTGGGTTTATAGAGCATAAACAATACATTGGGAACACTTTAAAGCTCTTTCCATATGTGGAGTTTCTCTACCTTACGAACAAATTCTTTAAAGCTTGTAACCTCTAAGCACGTGTTGGCTACTGGACACTTGATTTCATCACCAATTAACTGGAACTGAATTTTAAATTTTCTTTCATTTTAATTAAGCTAAATAATTTAATTTTTTTTCATTGAAAAATAATAATAATAAATCCCCCCACACTCTGCTTGGAGTCCCCTACAACATTTTCCTCTGGAAATTCACCTCTGATCCTTCCCAGGAAGCGCTCCCTCCCTCCTTTTCTCTCTGGAAAATCTTCTGTTCCATAGCTCTCCAAAATACTCTTATGGCCTCCCAGAAATTCTCCCATGACCCTCCTTAGAATGCCACAAAGTCCCCTTGTGAAAGGAAAACCAAAATGAAGTCCGCATTGCTAAAAGTATTCTCTAAGATCAACTGGCCAGGGTGGGGGGTGGGGGGCACTGAGGAATTCTGACATTGCAGGTAAGATCATTTGGGATCTGATCAGATCAGATCACATCGGGATCTGATCGTTTGACCACTTACTGTATTCACACAGGCATCCAGAATATGTGCCAGAAACTCAAGATACTGATCACACCCTTACACTACAGAAAACTCATGACAGCTTCTTTAAAGCCAAATATTCCTTTACATGTATCACAGCCAATTTGAATACTCTCCATACGACTTTAACAACCTGCTGATCTATGTCCCCACAATCCCCTAACTGGCTCTGCCAGCACTCAAGAGTTTACCGGAATCTGTGTCTCCCAAACTGCAATTCTTAAGAAACCCAATCAAGCTCTTTCTTCTTGGCACCCCGGATACGGATTATTTTACTTTTGAGACTCCAAAAGTTCTCGTAGAGCCCCCTCACGAGTTCCTTTATTCTTTCAACACCCCACGCCAGTCACTCAAGGAGTGCTGGCTACTGCAGGACACCACATAGCTAAGGAGATCTCTGGCATGTCAACGTCGTGTGGGCTTCGCCTGACCAAGAAGACGCAGGAAAGCGACAGTTTAGGGGACTCAGCTGGGGCGCCCCCCCGCGGACTTCAATGCGCAAGCGCACGAACCTTGGGCCTTTCAAACCGCGGTGCTTAGGCAGGTTACGTCACCACTGCGCATGCCTAGTGCGTCTGTCCGCAGAGCGGCCAGAGGCGCTGAGTTCCCTAGCAACGAGCTTTTCCCGCCTCGCTCTGGCCAAATCGCTCTCTAGCCCCTCCTCCCGGTCACTTTCACACCAGGCTTTCCTAGCAACCGGCTTGGCCGGCAGGATAGGTCTCCAGCAGAAATTCACCATTCACAGTGCCCCAGCTGAAGCCTGGAAAGCAAGAGGCCAGCAAACTTGAGTGGATTCTTTCAGGAAGCCGGGAGCCTACCGCAACAGGATCCCCTCCACCAATGGCTGGCTACGCTCATAATGCCCACCACACACACAGACACAAACACACACAGAAACATACGAAAAAAATCTCTGACCTCTGAAGATCATGCCTGAGGTAGACCGAGTGTGTAAAGGACCTTAATAAAACACAAAAGTATGTGCCCGAACCAGACACCCACCCTTGACTGCTTTCAACCATGTCTCACTTTTCCAATGAGACTTCTGGGTATCTGTCTCCTACCATGCCCATCCCGGTCTGATGACAACCACCCCTCTGTCCACTCTCCAAAAGACCCAGGTGCATCCTGGAGTGGAGGCGAAGGTGTAGACAGAGGAAACACAGAAAAGGGAGTATAAGCCAAGCATGCCCCTGCAGAACAAGCCTGGACTTGCTGGGCACTCCTATAGGGGTAGGGCCTCAACTACACTGGGCACCTCCTTGGGAAGGCAGAGAAGGGAGACGGTACCTGAGTCCTAGCAGCTGCTCTATCTACAGGGGAAAAAATGACGTGATTCTGATCTTGGGCTTTAGATCAGGAAAAAAGGGGACACAGTGGGTGAGACCTGACAGAGAGGGTTGGAAGCACAGACTCCTGGGGTCCCCATGGAGGAGGGGGCTGGGCACAAGATCCCCTTGTTCCTTTTGAATTCTGGTTCTGCCTCCCCCACTCAGAACTGTAGAGACCAACCCCTAGGTCTTCAAACACAATTTCTTAGCCTGGGGTAAGGTGGGTCCATACCCGCCCCTTCTCAGCTTCCTATAAGAAGAGCTGGAGACCTGGAACTGCAAGGTCACTCATCACTCCATCATGAAGCCTTCCATGAAACCTGAGACCTTCCTGCTGGCCTCTGCGCTGCTCTGCACCCTCCTGGGTCTGGGTAAGTGACTAGGGCTCTGGACTCCTGAGACCCTCGATATGAGGACTATTATAGAGCACTGTGCCAGATCCTCGAGGAAGAAGGGAAAGAGGAAGTGTCCCAGGAATTTAGATTCTTGGAGAAGAGCAGGGGGTAAAGGAGGAGACAAACCCTGAGTCCTCAAGGGAGGAAGAGCACAAAAATGTGTGGTTTTGAATCTTTGAGACAGGAGGGGTTTGGATGGGCTCTGCTCCTCTCCTCTTCAGCAGTGTCTCAAAATAAGACACCTTTATTCTAGAATATCAGATGAGAGTATGATTAGAAAAAAGAAGTGAGGCAAGGGGGAGAAATTTCCTTGCTTCCAGAATTCTAAGCAGTTCAGCTTCCCAGTGTCCTCCTCCCTTAGATGCATTTCAGGCAACTCCATTTTCCGCAGGACCCAGTTGACTTGTGTCTGCGTCCCCAGTTTCCTCCTCTCTCAGGACTAAGGAGCCAGGCCCTTGTCCTCTTAGTCATTCATCAGTTTTTATCTGGGATGCAGATCTCAGCCTCAGGTACCCCTGCCTGAATTTCCACTGTCTACAAGACTTAAGTGTGGTACCCACAAGGAAGTGGGTTCTGCTTCTGAGAACCAGCTGGACCTAAAGGTTCACAAAATTCCATGAAGGACTTCCCCAGTGGTCCAGTGGTTGAGAATCTGCCTGCCAATGCAGGTGACGTGGGTTCAATCCCTGGTCCAGGAAGATTCCCCATTCCCTGGGGCAACTAAGATGTTTTACCACAACTGCTGAGCCCATGCTCTGTGCTCTGCAGCAGAGCCACCACCAATGAGAAGCCAAAGCTCAGCAACCAGACACTAGACTATAACCGCTACAATTAGAGAAAAACCCACAGGAAGCAAGAAGACCCTGCAAATCAAAAATAGATAAAAAATTAAAAGATGAGAAAAAATGTTTAAGTCCATGGTAATATTCAGCAGGACCCCTCACTGTCCCCAAGCTTGCTCAGGGGGTCTCACGTCCAAAGTCCCCAGCCTTCTAATTAGGTAAATTTGCTCCCTGGTCGGAACTGCTTCTGCCCCCAACCCGAAAGCAGCTTTGCTCACAGCACCATGGCATCCCTGCCAAGCTTCAGACAGATCCCTGCTCAGCAGCCAATGTCCCGCCCATGAATAGCCAGGGAAACACCTGTCCGTCTTCCTTCGCCGCCCCCGCAGCCCCATTCCCCTCTGGACTAGGACGCTGTGACCCACAGACTATATCCAGCTTTTGCTCTCTATACCACAGGGTGCTCACTAAGCTGTGAGCTGTGTGTCAGCGACGGTCCCAACTGCAATGGAAAACTGCAGACTTGTGCCCCGGACGAGGACTCCTGCATTGTTGTCGTGACTGAGAGCAACAGAAGTAAGGAGGCAGGGGATGGCATCAGATGCTGGGGAGATGAGGGGTGCTTCAGGGTGGCAGATACTGCCATGTACTGCAAGGAACCTTTGAGTGATGATATGTCAGGAAAGAGGGAAAGGCAATCTTGAGGTGGGTGGTAGACAGATAATCCAGTGGAATGACAGAAACCACTATTGCCAAGGATTTCTGAAGATGAGACTCCAAAGAGAGGATAGGGAGGGGCAGATACAGACTTTCTTACAAAAGAAGAAATTAGGAAAGGACACGGGAGAAGAGAGAAATCCAGAGAGGGGGGAAATCTAATATCCAAAAGATGGAGGGGTGGGTGTAGAGAAGAGGCTAGGGTGAGATGCAAGGAATGTGATCAAGTTGACTCTCTGGGGGCGTGAGTGATCTCCCAGGGATGCAGGCTGCAAAAGACCTTTCCTGACAGGAGAAAAAGGGAGATACTGGGGCTGGTTGAGTTGGGTGTATGCTCAGTCGTGTCTGACTCTTTGCGACCCCATGGAGTATAGCCCGCCAGGCTCCTCTGTCCATGGCATTTTCCAGGCAAGAGTACTGGAGTGGCTTACAATTTCCTCCTCCTGGGCATCTTCCCACCCTGGGATGGACCCACGTCTTTTACATCTCCTGCATTGGCAGGGGGGTTCTTTACCACTGCACCACCTGGGAAGCCCCAATATTGGCATACAGAAAGAGTATATAAGGACAGATGATCCCTGACTCAGTCCATGAGGTCCCAAAGAGTCAGACACGACTGAGCACACTTGCACCCACACATGTGTCGGGTGAAGAGTGGAAACTCTAGGGCTGGAAGAGACCACCCTGTGGTGGGGAGGGGGAAGTCCAGCGAGAACAGAAGAGACCACTTGAGGCAACACCTGAGAGTAGCCAAAGAGGGCAGCAAGAGACCATAGGTAGGAGGTCTGGGAAGTAACCCTGGGAAACCTGGAAGAGACCACTTTAGATGCAGAAGGAAATAGGTGTTACAGCGGCCGGGGATGGCAGCCGCATCCCAGCATTTGGTGGAAGGAATTCCAGGGGTCAGGGGAGGGCTGCAGACTGGAAGAGACCATTCATACAGGCATGGGCGTAGTAACAGGTGGTCTGGAAAAGACCACTCCAGGTGCGACCCCTGCAGGATGGCAGTGGGGTGGCCCTGGGGCGGAAGGGGCCACTCTGGAGAGTCCAGCACAGCCTGGGGGCAGGAGGAGGATGGGGTGCATACCTGATAAACCATTCAGACAATGCCCCAGGCAGAAAAGGGGCTTGAATATGGGGAGCTGGAAGACACTTCTCTAGACAGCAGTAGGCTGGGGCAACTATAAGGTGGGAGAGACAACCCAGGGCAAGGGTCCAGACTGGGGGCCACTGACCGTTCTGCCCACGGCCATCCTGCAGAGGGCTCCTTGGCGGTGACCAGCTACAAGGGGTGTGCGAAATCCAGCAAGTGTGAATCAGGATCCTTCACCATCACCGTGAACACTGAGAACCAACTGGGCTCCAAGAGGCGCTGCTGCCAGGACGATGGGTGCAACCAGGACCCCATGCCTGGTAAGCCCCGGCTGAGCCCCACAGCTGGAGCCCCTCCCTGCCCACCTTCCCCCGCCAGGGCCACCTGTGAGCACCTGCTCCTGACCTGCACTGTAACCAGGGACGAGCGTCCTCCTTGCGCTGAGCCTTGGTTTCTTCTACTGTAAACTGCAGTGTCCAGGGACTTCCCTGCTGGGCCACTGACTAAGTCTCCATGTGCCCAAAGCAGGGGTTTGATCCCTGGTCAGGGAACTGGATTCCTCGGGCCACAGTGAAGATCCAATGCGGTCAAATACTGTTTTCTGAAGTGCAGTGTGCGTTAGCAACTGGTGTCCCCTAAGTGGCTGTGATGGTGGGAAAGGGACTAACGTCTCCGATTACCTTCCCCTCCACCCTCCTCTTCAGCGTTCGTGAGAAACCACACAGAGAATGGCCTTCGGTGTCCTTCCTGCATCACTGCCTTTACGGAAACATGCACTTCGACTCAGGAAACAGTCTGTGTTGGTGAGGAAACCCACTGTGTCGCCGTGTCTGGCCTCACACAGCCTGGTAAGGGGCACTTGGAATTCGGGAGGAGGGCACAGTGTTCCCAGAAGGTCCCAGAACTGGAGCCTCATTCTTCCAGATTCTAAGGGAGAGAGTGGCTCCAAAGATCTGGGGGAGAAGGTGGCTGGGGCACGTGACCCTGGACTAGGAGGAGGGAGGCACTGGAGATCCTGACTGCAGTCTATAATCCCCTCCCACAGGTATCAAATTTGCTGCCCAGGGCTGTGGTACGGAGACCACCTGCCACAGCAAGCCTGGGACCCTGGTGCCCTCAGGCTCTCGTTTGTTGACCATCAAGAAAACCAGCTGTCGTCCAAGCTCCCAGGCTTCTGGCAAGGCTGAGTGAGGAACTGAGGCCCATATGGTATGTGGTCTCCATTCGTCCTCAGACAGGTTCCCAGGTGTCTACAAATTAAACCAGTTAAAACAACAAGCCTGAGTCTTTGTGATGTGTGATGCATTTCTGGGAGATGGGATGGAAAAAGCTGGCATCTCAACCTGGGGGAACCCCCTCTTTGGAAGGAAAAGAGAGAAGAATATACCTTTTGTTAAGGGGTTACTTCCTGCCTGGTCCCTATGCTAAGTGTTTTCCATGTAGTACCTCATTTCATAATCACAACTCTGTGAGGTTGAAAGTATTGCCCCCATTTTACAGAGGAACAAACTGAGGCACAGATTGCGGTATAACTTGCACTTTTAAGGGGGCTTCCCTGGTGGCTCAGATGGGAAAGAATCTGCCTGCCAATGCAGGAGATGGGGGTTCAATCCCTGGGCTGGGGAAGAGCTGCTGGAAGAGGTCATGGCAACCCACTCTAGTATTTTTGCCTGGAGAATCCCATGGACAAAGGAACCTGGTGGGCTATAGTCCATGGGGTCACAAAGAATCAAAACCAACTGAGTGACTGAGCAAACGCACTGTTAAGACAGTGGTGGCTCCAGAGACAATGTGTCTGGCCAAATATTTACATTTGTAATAGCTGCCACTTACTGAGTAGCTATTTCTGACCAAGCAGGTCTCTGCCACAAAGGAATCTGACCTTTTGACTACTTACTGTATTCACACAGGCATCCAGACTACGTGCCAGAAACTCAAGATGCCTATCAGACCCTTACCCTCCAGTAACTCATGACAGCTTCTTTAAAGTCAAATATTTATTTGTATCAAATATGACATGTATCACAGTCAATTATAATTCTCTCCACACAATTTTAACAACCTGCTAACCGCAGTACTCATAAGCCCCTGACTCCCTCTGCCAACACTGTTAAGTTTTACGGGAATCTGTGTCTCCCAAATTCCAATTCCTAAGAACCCCAATAAACTCTTTTTTTCTTGGCAGCCCAGATACGGATTATTTTTCAACACCTTTAATATTCCAAAAGTTCTCACAGAGCCCCCTCATGATGTCCTTCACTTCTTCCAACTTCCTCCACGCCAGTCTCTCCCCAGGTCCTGGCTCCTGCGCCGGACACCACATGGTAAAGGCCGATCTCGGCATGTCAACGTCGTGTGGGCTTCGCCTGAGCAAGACGCAGGAAGGTCTGAGTTTAGGGTGCTCACAGCGGGTGAGCCCAGGGAGGCCTTCACTGCGCAAGCGCACGCACGAGGCTCTGGCCTTTTGAACCGCTGCGCACAAGGGGCTACGTCACCACTGCGCATGCCTAGTGCGTCTCAGCAGAGAGCAGCGAGAGGCGCTGAGTTCCCTAGCAACGAGCTTTTCCCGCCTCCCTCTAGCCAAACAGCTCTCTACCCCTTCCTCCTGATAACTTTCACACCAGGGTATCCTAGCAACCCATGCGGCCTTCAAGATTGGTCTCCGGAAGAAATTCGCCAATCTCAGCGCCCCAACTGAAGCCTTGAAAGCGAGAGGACAGCAAACTTGAGTGGATTTTTGCAAGGAGCCAGGGGCCTACCGCAACAAGATCCCCTCCACCTATGGCTGGCTACCCACCCACAGCCACCTCCCCTACCCGGCCACACACGAAAAATTACACCCAAAAAAATACACACACACACACACGAAAAAATATATATACACACGTTAAAAAATACACAGACACAAAATCTCTGATCTCTCAAGATCATGTGCCTGAGATAAAGGATCTCAATAAAGCACAAAGTATGTTTCCAAACCAGACACACACCCAACCTTGAGTGCTTCCAGCCGTGCCTCAGCTTTCCAATGCGGTTTCTGGGCATCTGGTACCATGCCCATCCTGGCCCAATGACAAGCACCCCTCTGTTCAGATTCCGAGAGACCCAGAAGTGCATCTTGGGGTGGGGTCGCAGCTGGAGACAGACCAAACACAGAAAACCGGGTATTGAGCCAAGCAGCAGAACAAGCCTGGACTTGCTGGGTGCTTCCCGGTTAGGGCCTCAACCGCACTGGGCACCTCCTTGGGAAGAGAGACAAGGGACAGGGAATCTGAATCCTAGCACTGTTCTATCCTGCAGGAAACAAAATGACCTGATTCTGATCTTGGGCTTCAGGTAAGAAAAAAAGGGGGGGGGGGTAGCGGGGGGATGAAGGTGGTGAGACCAGATAGAGGGTTGGAAGCCCAGATTCCTGGGGTCCCCATGGAGAAGGGGGCTGAGCACAAGATGCCCATGTTCCTTTTGGATTCTTGTTCCATCTCCCCCACTCAGAGCTACAGACACCTACCTTCAGATCTTACATCATCTTTCTTAACCTAGGGGCAAGGTAGATCCAGATCCGCCCCTTCTCACCTTCCTATAAGATGAACTCCGGACCTGGGACTGCATCTTCACTCATCCAACTATCATGAAGCCTTCCACAAAACCTGAGACTTTCCTGCTAGCCTCCATGCTGCTCTGCACCCTCCTGGGTCTGGGTAAGTGACTAGGAGTCTGGACTCCTGGAATCCTGAAACGAAGACTATAGGAAAGCATTTAGCCAGGTCCTTGAAGGTGAGGGGGAAAGAGGAGGTGTCCTGGGAATTCAGATTCATGGTAAAGGCAGAGGGTAAAAGAGAGAAAGCCTGGATCCCCAAGGGAGGAAGAGGTCAAAAACATGTGGGTTTAAATCTCTGAGAAAGGAGGGGTTTGGATGGCCTCTGCTCCCCTCCCTCCAACAGTGTCTCAAAATAAAACACCTGAATTCTAGGAATTCAGATGAGAGTATGATTAGAAAAAAGTAAAGTGAGGTGAGGGGGAGAGATTTCCTTTCTCCCAGGACTCTAAGGAGTTCAGGTCCCCGGGGTCTTCTTTCCTTAGATGCAATTCAGGCAACTCCGCTTTCCCCAGGACCCAGTTCCCCTGTGTCTGGGCCCCAGTTGCCTCCTCTCTCAGGACCAAGGAGCCAGGCCCTTGTCCTCCTAGTCCTTGATCTTCCTTCTTGAGCTGGGTTGCGGATCCCAGCCTTAGGTACCCCTGCCTGAGCGACTATACTGTCTACCAGCGTTAAGTGTGGTACCCACAAGGAAGAGGGTCCTGCCTCTGAGAATCAGCTGGACCTGAAGGTTCACAGAAGTCCATGAAGGACCTCCCCCGTGGTCCAGTGGTTGAGAATCTGCCTGCCAACGCAGGTGACATGGGTTCGATCCCTGGTCCAGGAAGATTCCACATGCCTTGGGACAACTAAGCCCTTGCACCACAATTACTAAGCTCGTGCTCTAGAGCCTGTGCTCTGCAACAGGAGGAGCCACCACAAGTGAGAAGCCCAGGCACCGCAACGAGAGAGTAGCCCCCACTCACTACAACTGGAGAACACCCACACGAAGCAAGGACAACCCAGCACAGTCTAAAACAGAAAAAAGAAAATTAAAGGATAAATTTTAAAAAATGCATGGAAACCTTCGGCAGGACTCCTTACTATCCTCCAGCTTTCTCAGAGGGCCCTAGTGTCCAAATTCCGCAACCCTGTAATTAGGTAAACTTGCTCCTTGATGGAGTTGCTGTCCACCCCTGGAAGCAGCCTTGCTGGCGGCACCATAGTGTATCTGATGGAGCTTCAGATAGTTCTCTGTTCAGTGGCCAATGTCCCACTCGTGAATAACCAGGGAGACACCTTTCCCTCTTCCTTCAGATACCCCTTCCCCATCCCCTTCTGGACTCGGAAGTCATGGCCCGGAGACCACACCACTTGGACTAGAGCCTCTCTCTCTATACCTCAGGGTACCCACTCAGCTGTGAGGTGTGTATCAGGAATGGAGCCATATGCACTGGAGTAATGAAGACTTGCGCCCAGGACGAGGACTCCTGCATCTCCGTCATGACTGAGACTAACAATAGTAAGAGGGTAGGGAATAGCGTCAGATCCTGGGGAGGTGGGGGCTGCCTTCAGGGTAGCAGATATTACCACGCACTGGGAGGAACCTTTGAGTGAAGAGGGGGCGGGAAAGAGGGAAAGGAGGAAAGAGAATCCAGTGGAATGACAGAAACCACTGTTGCCAAGGATTTCTGAACATGAGACTCCAAAGACATGATGGGGGAGGAGCAGATATAGAGAATTTCTTAGGCAAGAAGGGATTAGGAAAGAACACAGGGGAAGAGTGAAATCCATGGGGGAGGGGCGGGAATCTAATATGCAAAAGTGTAGGGGTGGGTGTAAAGAATACTGGGGTGAGTTGCAAAGAATGGGACTAGGTTGACTCTGTGATCAGGTGTAGCCTGTCCATGGGATTTTCCAGGTAAGAATACTGAAGTGGCTTGCCATTTCCTCCCCCAGGGGATCTTTCCAACCCAGGGAACGAACCAGTATTTTGTGTCCCCTACATTGGCAGTGGGGGTTTTTAACACTGCACCACCTGAGAAGTCCCAGTATTGGAACAGAGAGAGAGAGAGAGAGAGATAAGGACAGATAATCCAAGGACTCAGTCCATGAGTTTGCAAAGAGACAGACAGGACTGAGCACCCACCCACCCAAGCACTTGGGGTACAGAGCAGAAACCCTAGGCCTGGAGGAGACCACCCTATCTATGGTGGGGAAGGGGAAGTGCAGGGAGACTGGAAGAGACCACTTCAGGCAAGACCTGAGAGTAGCCAAGGAGGGCAACAAGAGACCATAGGTAGGAAGTCTGAGGCGTGACCCTGGGAAATCTTAGACAAAGAAGGAGACAGGTGTTACAGGGTGGTGGCTGAGGGCTGCATCCTAGGATTTGGTGGAAGGAATTCCAGGGGTCAGGGGAGGGCTGAAGGTTGGAAGAGACCATTTCACACAGGTCTGGGGGTAGTCATAGGTGGCCTAGAAAAGACCTCTCCAGGTGTGACCTTTAGAGAATGGCAGTGAGGTGGCCGTGGAGCTAAAGGGACTACTCAGGAGAGACCAACGCAGCCAGGGGCAGAGGAAGGAAGGGTTGGGTACAATACTCAACCCTCCAGGCCTTGCCCCAGGCAGTTAAGGGTGTATGACTCTGGGGAGATGAAAGAGGCCTCTCTAGACAGCAGTGGGCTGGGGAAGCTGTAAGGTGATGGAAATACCCCGGGACCAGGGTCCAGACCAGGGCTCCTGAGTCCTCTGTCCACCCTCATGATGCAGAGGGCTCTGTGGATGTGACCAGCTACAAAGGGTGCGCGAAATCCAGTGAGTGTGACCCGGCATTCCTCTCCATCACCGTGGCTCCGGAGAACTACATGGGGTCCGACACGCGCTGCTGCCAGAACGATGGCTGCAACCACAAACCCCTGGCCGGTGAGCCCCAGCTGAGCCCCACAGCTGGAGTCCCTCCCTGCCCACCCCTCCCCCTGCCAGAGCCAGCTGTGAGCACCTGTCACTGACCTGCACTCTAACCTGAGACAAGCGTCTTCCTTGCATTGAGCCTTGGTTTCTTCTCCTGTAAACTGCAGTGTCCAGGGACTTCCCCAATGGTCCAGTGACTAAGACTCCATGCGCCCTATGCAGGGGTTTCATCCCTGGTCAACATAAATATTATTTTCTAAAAATGCAGTCTAGGTTAGCGACTGGTGTCCGCTGAGTGATTGTGATGTTGGGAAAGGGACTAATGTCCCGTGCACCTTACCCTTCACCCTCCTCCCCAGCGTTCAGGAGAAATCTGACAGAGAATGGCCTTCAGTGTCCTTCTTGCTTCAGCGTCTCTACGGAAACATGCACCCCAACTCAGGAAGTGCCCTGTATTGGCGAGGAAACCCGCTGTGTCACCGTGTCTGGCCTCGCACAGCCTGGTGAGGGGAACCTGGATTTCAGGAGGGCACAGGGTTCCCAGAAGGTCCCAGAACTGGAGCCTCATTCTTCCAGATTCTAAGGGAGAGAGTGGCTCCAAAGAACTGGGGGGAGGTGGCTGGGGCATGACCCCTGGATTGGGAGTAGGGAGGCATTGGGAATCTTGATTCTAGTCTGAAATCCCCTCCCACAGGCATCAGATTTGCTGCCCAGGGCTGTGGCACAGAGGCCGCCTGCCACAGCAAGCCTGGGACCCTGGTGCCCTCAGGCTCTCGTTTGTTGACCATCAAGAAGACCAGCTGTCGTCCAAGCCCCCAGGCTTCTGGCAAGGCTGAGTGAAGAACTGAGGCCCATGTGGTGTTTGGTCTCCATTCGTTCTCAGCTACGACTTCCCATGTGTCTATAAATTAAACAAGTTAACAGAACAGTCCTGAGTCTTTGTGATGTGATGCATTTTGGGGAGATGGGATGCAAAAAGCAGGGGTCTGAATCCTTGGGAACCTCTCTTTGGAAGAAAGAAAGGGAAGGTGCCAACTGTTGTTAAGGGATTACTTCCTGCCGGGTCACTATGTTAAGTGTTTTCCATGCAGTACCTCATTTCATAATCACAACAACTCTGAAGTTGAAAGTATTGTCCCCATTTTACAGAGGAACAAACTGAGGCACGGATTGTGGTGTCACTTGCCTTTGGTCAAACAGCTGAGAGGGTCAGACTCTGGATTCCATGCACAGTTCTCTTTATTAATTTCTTTTCGGTTACCAACATCAGTATCTATGTTTGTAAACTGTGGATACTAACAGCTATATCCTTAAAGGGCTGTCTCAAGAGTCAAATGAAAGAAAATGAAAAAAGGACTTAGTTCAGGGCCTAGCACCTTTAAGGGGGCTTCCCTGGTGGCTCAGATGGGAAAGAATCTGCCTGCCAATTCAGAAGACGTGGGTTCAATCCCTGGGTCGGGAAGATCCCCTGGAGGAGGGCATGGCATCCCACTTCGGTATTCTTGCCTTGAGAATTCCAGGGACAGAGGAGCCTGGTGGGCTATAATTCATGAGATCACAGAGTCAGACACAACTGAGTGACTGAGCACACACACTACCGACTTTAAGACTTTGCTGGTTCTGGAGACAGTGTGTCTGGGCAAATAGTTACCGTCCTAACAGCGGCCACTTACTGGGTAGCCATTAGTTAGAAGATACTAGACTTTGGCAGCCATCAGGATAGACTGGATTATGCTATGGTAACAAATAAGTCCCCAATCTCAGTAGCTTAAAACAACAAAGTTGTACTAGTTGATGCTGTAGTAATGTGTACCAAACCATGCCCAAATCGAGACTTGACAAGAAGCGTTCTTCTTCCTAAGGGTCGGTAGCCATTCCTAAGGCAGCTCTGTTTCTGGCTGTGCGCTGATGGGTTTGGCTGCAGTCTGGGAGGGAGACTCTAGTTCTCCTCCGTGGGGTTCCAGTCTTCTGAGATCTGTGGCTCCCTGGCGAATGTTTGTCTCATGGCAGATGACATGGGGCACATAAACCAAGTGCACCAAAGGTCCCTGCGGTGGTTGGGGTGCTAACCTTCCGTGGAGTAAAGTAAATCATATGGTTAAAGCCAGCCTCAGTGGAGCAGGGAACTATAGTACACTTCAATGGCCCTAGCAAACCTCAGGGGGAGGGGCACAAGAAGAGCAGTCTGGCCCCCTATGGCCCCGCCCGCACCCCTGCCAGACAGATTTCATTACCAGCATGACCTCTGAGGGTCATGAAAGGAAAATAACAGATTTAATCTTCACCACTACTCCTTGTGATAGGCACTATTATTCTCATCCCTGTTTTCAGAAGAATCTGAGGTTCAAGAAGGAATACCACATTGGCGATTGTGCAGCTAAAAAGTGGCAGATCTTCAGATTTTAATCATTGAGTCACGTTGAGAAGGAGAAAGAGACCACATCCCGGACAGAGGGGACACGCCTGTATCAGTATGGATACATTGCTACATAACAAGCCCTTCCAGACCTCAGTTGCTTAGAATAATTGCCTATATAAACATCCTTATATGCATTTATTTGGCCGCATTGGGTGTTAGTTGTGGCAGACAATATCTTTAATAAGTCATGCAGGATCCCTTTGGTGGTGCATGGACACTCCAGTTGCAGCTCCCAGGCTCAGATGATGGGCAGCATCTGGGATCTTCATTACCCCTCAAGGATTGAACTTCAATCCTCTGCATTGCAAGGCAGATTCTTAACCACTGGACCACTAGGGAAGCCTCTAGAATAATTGTCTTGTATTTACCTCATTCCATGGGTTGGCAATTTGGTCTAGGGTCAGCTGGAGGATGGTTCAGCTGCCGGTCAGCTAGGCAGCTCCCTTTCAGAGGGCTGACATTGGTTGGGGTGTCCTGGCTGACTGGGCCACATGTATCTAATCACCCTGCAGGTTAGCCTGGACTTCCACATGTGCTCATGGTGGCAGGGGTCCCCAGGGCAGCGAGAGATCACCCCAATCCATGAGTACTTGTCAAGCTTCTGCTTGCATCACATTTCCTGTTAGTCCAGTAGTCAAACAGATCCAAAGACCAGGTCTAAAGTCGGGATGAGAAGGGTCTCTCCAAGGCCATGGCTGCAGGAATGCTGAACAGACTGGGGGCATTAATGGGCCATGCTAGTTCGAGAGCTAAGAAGTTTATTATCACAGCCCCCAAGGTTAAACAATTACTAGTCCACCCGACCTCCTTCAGGGTGGCAATACTCTATTAAAGTCACTGGACTGCAGCCCAGGGAATTCTATCCTGCACACACCTCCACCATCCCTCTTCTCCAGGGACCCAGGAGGCCTCACCCTTGGACCCCTCCTCCATCAGACACAGGAGTCTAGGCTTCCAGTTGATAGTCAGAATCCCAAGCATCTTCCCCCTCCTTTTAAACCCGCAACAAACACACACACAATGGAATTTCTACTTTTTTATTCACTCTTCCAAAAAGCACCACAGGTCAACCCACCCCTGAATCTCCCAGCTTCATGGTTCCTCACCTCAATGGACACAAGTCTATCATTATGCAGACAAGTAGGAAATTCATCTAAGTTGATGATGCTTGTACCACTTCTGCTTCTGGCGATAACAACATTAGGATTTATCAGACGTTTTCTACAATTTCTGCCTTCAAGGGCCTGCCAGCCTGCAAGTGCCACATAGACTCATCCTGAGGGCAGCCAGTGATCCCTCCACAAGGGAATCCTCAGTCTTTTCTGTTTGGATGCTCCCAGAGACAGATGCCTCACTAGCAACTTGCTGCCTCCAGAGCCTAAAATTGAATCTATTTAAAAGTCATGATTTAAAAGGCAACCACTCCAAAAGAGAGTCGTGACACCCAAGGGTGCCGAAATACAACTACTTAAACACAATCAGCACACTCCACGAGGGTCAGTGACACAAGAAAACAAAACTGGGTCTTGCTTTCTCAGAGTTGATCTCAGGCAGGAGTCCCCTTGGTGGGAGGAGAGAGGGAATTTGGAACAGAGAAGCATAATGTAGAGATGTCCGACAGGGCCAAGTTAGAGATGGTGTCAGAGAGGAGGGCACCCTGAGCAAAGGCATGGGGGTGAGACTAATGTTTGCGCTCCCTGTGTTCCAAGCTTCCAGGAAGGGCTGCAAGTCTATTACTGTGGACCAGAGAGAACAAACGTGCCTACATGGAATGCTCACGATAATCCTGTGGGTAGATGCCATTTGCTGACTCACTTGCAAAAGACCACCCTATGGTCAAAGGGCTGTCTGGCCCTAGGGCAACGCACACAGGATTTCCTGTGATACTAGCGCTGGGTTATCCAATAATGTCAATATTCAGTACCTGTGGCTGCTGCAACTGGGAAACTGAAGTTTACCTGTGAATTACTTCTGATTGATTTAAAAATTGCTCTTCATCATCCTGACTAGTAAACTATTCAACATCATTGGGACGACCTGGGTACAGGAATCGACTTCTCCAAATGTGAGTTTCATGAAATCTAAACAGAGGCCAAGTATTTCAATGAAAATTTATCATCTGAATTGAGATATGCTAGGAGAAATATGCACCAGATTTCAAAGACTTAGCATAAAAAAGAATGTGGGATATCTCATTAGTACTTTCCTATATTGATCACATGTTAAAATGACAGTATTTTGGATATATTGACATGAGACATATTAGAATTGGTGTCACCTATTTCCTTTTCCTTTTTAAAGTGACTACTAGAAGATGGGAATGACCCATGTGGCCTTTGGGCTCCCCAGAAGGTTCAGTGGTAAAGAACTCACCTGCCAACGCAGGAGAGCCAGGTTCAATCACTGGGTTGGGAAGATCCCCTGGAGATGGAGACTGAAACCCACTCCAGTATTCTTGCCTGGAGAATTCCATGGTCAGAGAAGCCTGGCAGGCTATAGTCCATGGGGTTGCAAAGAGTCGGACACAACTGAGCGACTATCACATACATACATATTTATATGAAATGTCTGGGATAGACAAATTCATAGAGACAGAAAGTACATCAGTGGTACATATACACACTAGTATAAAGTAGACAATCAAAATGACCTACTGTATAGCACAGAGAACTACAGTTAATATTTTATAATAACCTATAAAGGAAGAGAATCTGAAAATATATACACACACACACATACACATAACTGAATCACTATGCTGTACACCTGAAACTAATAAGACATTGTAAATCAACTTTACTTCAATATTTTAAAAAATCAGAAAAGGTGAGTTTAAACTAAAATAATAATACAGTTTTATCTCGAGGATTTAAAAATTAAAAAGGTTAATATCATGTTGATTTACAGATGACATGATCCTCTACATAGAAAACCCTAAAGACTCCACCAGAAAATTACTAGAGCTAATCAATGAATAGAGGAAAGTTGCAGGATATAAAATTAACACACAGAAATCCCTTGCATTCCTATACGCTAACAATGAGAAAACAGAAAGAGAAATTAAGGAAACAATTCCACTCACCATTGCAACAAAAAGAATAAAATACTTAGGAATAAATCTACCTAAAGAAACAAAAGACCTATATATAGAAAACTATAAAAACACTGATGAAAGAAATCAAAGATGACACAAATAGATGGAGAAATATACCATGTTCATGGATCAGAAGAATCAATATAGTGAAAATGAGTATACTACCCAAAGCAACCTATAGATTCAACACAATCCCTATCAAGCTACCAATGGTAATTTTCAGAGAACTAGAACAAATAATTTCACAATTTGTATGGAAATACAAAAAACCTTGAATAGCCAAAGCAATCTTGAGAAAGAAGAATGGAACTGGAGGAATCAACCTGC